TCCCCCCTTGGTCACCGACCTTTGCCAAAATCCCTTAGGAAGTCAACGAAGTTCACTTCGTCCCTAAATGGTCACCGAATTTTGCAAAAATCCTCTAAGAGGTCACCGAACTTCATTTCGCCCCTAAATGGTCACTAAACTTTGTAAAAAATTCCTGAGAGGTCACTGGACTTATTATGCATGGGGTCCCAATTTGCAAAAGTTGAGTGACCTCTTGGGAAATTTCGGTAAAGTTCAGTGACCATTTAGGGGCGAAGTGAAGTTCGATGACCTCCTAGGGGATTTTGACAAAATTAGGTGACCATTTAGGAACGAAGTGAAGTTCGGTGACCTCTTAGAGGATTTTGGCAAAGTTCGGTGATCATTTGGGAGATTTCCTCACTTTTTATTTATACTGACATCTCACATATAAAGGAAAAATTATTTATTTAACATTTTTATAAATTTTTCATCTCACTTATAGTTAACTAGTTCGCTCAAACATTGACAATATAATGTCAGACTGCTCTTCCTACCATTTCTTCTCTCTGTGCTCTAGAATAGGTAGCACCAGTCTAACATTAATATTTTATTTTTATCGCTACATGCCATTTCTTCCTACATTTTTACCTCTTTTTCTTGACTAGTGCAATGCCTTAATTTTGTTGAGATGAATAGGTGGGATCAGACCTATAGTTTATGTTTGATAAGTTCCACCTGTTAATCAAAAATACGCTAACAAATATTCAACAGTATGGAGTAACACCAATTTAAACAGTTTCTAACACCGACTCAACCATCTGAAATTGTCCTTTGAATTTATGAGATGTTTGTGTTTTTTATTATGATCTTGATTTGTTACAAATTCACAAATTAATGAAAGATTGGTCAATTATTTCAAAGCATTAAAGAATATTCGTGATCTTAGTTTTAACATGATGAGTCCAATATTCATTCAGCATATTCCATCAATGTGACAAATCCTCATGATTATATCAAGATTATCGTATTCAAGAATATGATAGTCTCACATGGATAAGTATATATACTAAATTATAAAAGTGACATCACCTAGTCACAATTCATGAATTATAAAGGAACCCTTCTTCATGTACAAAAAAGGAAAATACAAAAAAGATACATGACACACATGCACGGGACGGGTGGTTTTGTTTTTTTGTTTTTAATATAAAACTCACTTGGGCCCACCACATTTGAGTTTTCTGCTTCTTTTTTTCTGTGCAAGAATAGTTCTGTACGTCAGGAATTGTTCGTAATAAAGAGTTTCAAACAAGTAACACAATTAACAAGCAAGACTATCCAACTTACCCACATATAACCAGGAAATAATTATTTTTATTTATTTTTCCTAATTTTTCAATTTCTTTTATGGTCAATATTTTTATATATTCAATTGTTTTTATTTTAAGTATCTGAAAAGCAAATAACACTACACACAAACAAGCACAATAAAACTAATGAAGTTACACACCCAACCTTAAAGTACACATTATTCTCAATATAAGCAAATAAATAAGCCTTAGAAGGACAACAATACTCCCCCGTTTCATATGAAGATGCCTCTCCATTAGCACTTCATCATTTATCTTCTTATAGTCTCATTTGCTTGTTTTGCAAAACATATCCATTATATCTAAAGAGACGACAAAATATAATTAGCTATGAAGTGATCATGTGGACAAAGGAATATGTAGCTATGTGTGAGTTTAGGCTAACTTAATTCTTGAGATTTTTGTTAAATGAAACATATATTTAAAAAAAAAATCCATTTTTTAAATTCTTTCGTTTATATATATATTTTTTTTATTTTTGTTCATCATTATAATTATTATTTTTGTATATTTTTATTTTTTTATTTTTCAAAATGAACATGCTTGTCATTGTTGGACAGTGGCAAACAAAGTCCAATGCTGAACCATGGTTGACACACACCACCTTGAACTTTCAAATCCTTTCAACATGGTCACCTTTCAAGTTTTTGTTCAATTTAGTCCCTTTTCGTCGAAATATTCAATTTTGATTTCGCAATTTTAAAAGCTTCTATATTGGTCCTCGAACCTCCCAATGCGTCCAAAATTTGTCCTTCGCAAAGTTTAATGCCAAGAAATTTTCATTTGTTTTCTCATTTATATTTATATTTTTTATATATTTTTATATTTTTTCCTTCTCATTTTATGTTTTCGTTTTTCTTTTCATTTATATTATTAATTTAAGGCAGGATGATCATCTTAATCAAAAACTAATTAATTGATGGTCAAAATGATGACTTCCATCCAAAAAGAACATGTGGTCCTAACGTTTCAAAGGCTTGCGACCCAATGTTAAAATTATTCAAAATCTAGGGACCCTCAAGACAATTTATCTTATATTTATAGATTATTTTATCATCTATTGTTAACTTCAAAAAAGTTTATAGTCCTGCCTATTGTATAAAATAATCAAATAAGAATTCTGTTATTAACTATTTTTATACAAAAAAAAAATTATGAATTTGTTATTTATAGAAAAAATATTTTTAACTAAACAGTCTAGGTTGAATTTAATATTTTAATGCACATAAGATTTTAGTTGATAATTGATAGAATGTTTGCACATAATGAAAATGGGAACAATATAAATTTTATTAGAAATTCAATATCATACAAGATTAGAAAAAAATTAAAATAATAAAAAAAGTTAAAATATTGTTTATTATACAATATCAATAACATATAGATATAAATAATTAAAAACTTTAATTTTTCTCAAAAAAATTGAATATCAATAATTCTCTAAGCATTCACTCGTCCGACCCAATGCATTGAATCAATCTTAGGTCGAATATGATAACTATGGTCAAAATCCCCTCGGGACATAGTCCAGTGGTGCAAATGACAGGAGTGAGGTTATCTCACGCTTTGCTGGCAGACACAATGTGGGGGTTCGACTCCTGAGACATGGAATTGGACTCATTGTAGGCACAGTTTACAGGAAACTCTTATTTCCTGACTTGTTATAGTACATCCCGCGATTTACCTCCCTCACAAAGCTCCAGCGACGAGACAGTAGGGGCCCTCAAGGTTGGGATTCAACCTTTTTTTTTTTTTGATAACTATGGTCAAAATGTTAGGGGTCAGCTAGCAATTTTCTCCTATAACTAGACCAAAAATAATAATAAAAAAATATATATAGCCTTTTTTTTTTTGTGGAAATTACATAAAACCATACTTTAACTATTCAACCTTCTAAAATCAGATTCAAGGTTTCATATTTCAATAATCAGAAATATTATTTTAATCAATATTTTATAAAATAAATATTTTACTAATATACTCAATTATATACACATTACAAACCCTAATCATCTTTATAAACACTTCACTCCCTCTCTACCCAAGAGCTGTCGTATGTGTGTGCCTCTCTCTCTCTCTCTCTACATCAACGGTTCTGCCGGCTACAAACTCCGGCGATGGACCAATCCAGCCTTGTCGCGATGTGAAGATGTGGTCGGTGTAGGTCCCTTGCCCGGCGGCTGAAGCGATCTGGCAGCGATGTGAAGAGGCGGCTCGATTCGTTGCGATGCGAAGTAGTGGAGGTGCTACGAGGTTGATTGAGCGGCGGTGGTGAATTTGGAAGGTCAACGATGTGAAGCACTGGTTTGTAACTGCTTTGATTCTGTGGAGTGGGACAATGCAATGGTTTCGTTGGGGTGGTGGCGGTATAGTGTGGATTGTGGTGGTAATAGGGTACTGTCGTACTGGATTGTTGTAGGTGCGACGGTGATGTGGTGGTTGGGTGAGTGGTGATTAGCGGTGGTGGTGGAGGCGTGTGGTTCTGTGGTGGGGACGGTGGTTGAGTGGATTGGGGGGAACGGTTCTGTGGGAACATTTTTGTGGTGGATTTGCCGTGATGGCGAGATGGTGGTGGTGATGGTTGTGGTGCTGCGACAGTGACAGTGGTGTTGGTGTGGTTGTGGTTGTGGCGGTGGTGGTCATGATGGTGCTGTAGAGGTAGCGAAGGTTTGGTGGTGGTCACAGATTATTTGATTGATTGTGACTATTAAATTGATTAATTCGTGACTAATAAATAATATGTGACCACCAAAAAGATAAATTGTGACCAAGAATAGTGTGTGATCTAAAAAAATAATAATTCGTGACATATAATAGTTGTGATCTGTGACTTGTAAATAACTTGTAACGTATAAATTTTTTATCTGTGACAAACAAATCGTGACTTACAAATTTTTTTAATTGTGACCATAAACAGATTTTGTGACCTTAAATTTTTTGATTTGCTATCAAAAAGCAAGTTGTGACCAATAATTTGATAAGTTGTGACTAAAAATTAATTCGTGACTAATTAATTTTTTTATTTGTGACCGATGAGCAAACTGTGACTTACAAATTTTTTGAATTGTGATCGTAAAATAATTTATGACATAAAATTTTTTATTTGTGACCAAAAAATAATAAATGATTAATTAAATTGTTAATTTGTGACCAAATTGTATAGATATGTGACTTAAATATATTTAATTTATTGAGTTGTGATCGAAAAATTAATCTATGACCTATAAAATTTTTGATTCGTGATCGAAAAATAATATGTGACCTATAAAATTTTTAATTTGTGACCGAAAAATAAGTTGTGACCAATAATATGATATTTGTAACCAATAAACAAACTGTGATTTACAAAATTTTTAAATTGTAATCATAAAAAAATTTGTGACATAAAATTTTTGATTTGTGACCAAAAAATAATAAGTAACTAATTATATTGTTAATTTGTGACCAAATTGTATAGATCCGTGATCTAAATATATTTAATTAATAAAATAATTAATTAACTAATTAAATTATAAATAATTTTTAATAAAAATCTGATTTTAAAAATTTGAAATTTATTTTTTTATTTTTAAAATGTGCCATAATTAATTTCTTAGTTACCCAATTGTCCCTTTTTCCCCCCTAATATAGTGTAAACTGAGGTTAGATGTCTCTTCGATAGATCTGCTGGCCCAAATATGCGCCGTACCATGGCCCAGATTAGTATCCTGCTCTCAAAATAATTAGGTTACAGGAAGAGAAGTATAAAAGGAGCAGCGCTGGATGTCCTAATATAATCCGTAGAATTATTCAGCTTCAAATTCTTGTAACCCTGTTTACTTTTACGTGGAATTCGTTTCTTCATTCACAGATTTACCCGCATAAAGATTAGATAAATATTTTTTTCCCCAGTTCTCGGTTTCTAGATCGCTGCGTTGATTATTTCAAGATTCAATTGGTTTCTGAACATCATAAGTTGGTTAATTTAGTACTCAATCCAAACTCCCAATTTTTTGGATTTTTTGAGTAATTTGTACTATATTGAAGGTTTTGCGAACCTTGAGGTGTTTTTCATGTGATGGATGATAATTTGGCGGATCTTGATTTGAACCAAGAACCCTTGGACCCACCTGTGAATTCAGATGCGAGATTTGGATCTATGTTGAATGAGTTGGACACTACCCATGGTAGGATAGAGGATAGGATTCGACATCTTGAAGCTGTTACTGCTCGTACTAGGCAGCGCCAGAGGTGGCGTCAATTGCGTAATCCTGCGGAAATAAGTGACTTTTCGGGTGAACATGTGGTTGATGTGGATGGTGAGAGAGGCGCTGAGAGAGGAAGAGTTTGTAAAAGGGGTAGTTCCCATTTGGTCGCAAAGGCTTTGGAGATGGATTCCGATGTTAAGAAGGTTGAAAAGGAAGGATGGAGCTTTTACGATTGTAATATATGCTTGGAGGTGGCGAGGGAGCCTGTCCTGACTTGCTGTGGTCACTTGTTTTGTTGGGTGTGCTTTTATCAAGTTCCGTATATTGATTCAACTTCCAAGGAATGTCCAGTTTGTAAGGGAGAGGTATCTGATAGCACTGTTATTCCTATTTACGGGAACGGGGAGAGCGAACTTGTGTCTGAGTTGGAATCTGGCTTGAAAATACCTCCGAGGCCCAAAGCTCGGAGAGTTGAGAGTGCGAGGCAACAGCAAGTGACAAATGGTTTATCTCATGGTCCAGTTGCAGAAGCATTGAGGCGAATTAGGATTAGTATTGGTACAATGGAGGATCAAACTGAGGATGGGAGTCGTAATTTAAGGTTTGAGTCTGATGCTCCAGAGGTGCAAACTGGAGGGGCAGCTGGCGGCCGGCGGCGGCGCCGCCTTAGGGTCCAGCGGGTTTCAAGAGTATTATCCGAAAGTGCTGCTTCTCTTTCTTCTCTTTCATCTGCTTTGAGTAATGCTGAAAGGTTAGTCGAGGACCTTGAAACAGTTATAAACAACCGTTTATCGAGTGACACCCGGCGTTCATCAGTTGAGATAGGGAATAATCCTCGTACTAGTGATTCTGCTATCATACAATCAGATCACCAAGCTCTAGATTCTAGTGCGGCTATTTCCTCTTCCCAAACAAGGGATGTTCCTAGTGATGATGTACAATTCCTGGCAATGACGACTTTTGGTGAAATCAATTTGCCGACTGTACCTTCTTCTTCAACTACCCGTAGAAGAAGAGTTTTGTCTCGGGTTTCAAATGCAGACAATCAGGATTCCCGTGAATCCAGGAGGAGAAGATTGAGCTGAGTGATTACTGGCAGAATAAGAATGGTAACTTTGATACTCTCATATTAAACTGGAATTGTAGTATAGTGCTTAAACTCGAGAATCACCGACACTGACATGTAAACCAAAAGCCTTGGACATAATTTTTAGCTGAGTTTCATCTAGTTTGGTCTATATGTTGCTAACTTCGTGTGTTCTACATTTTATATTTGTAACTTACTAGATGCTTCCGCCTGATTTCATTATTTAATTTACATGTTTTTTCCAGTGTTTTTCTTCACTGTCTTCTGATTTTTTAATTTTTTTCTGGTTATTCTGTTTTTATATCCTGATAATTACATTATGGAATTAATCCGTTTGATCCACATTAATTTTCATTCCATTATATTTCATTTTTCTCTCTCCTATTTTCAATTATACAATCTTTCATAAAATAATATTTCACGTAAATCGAAAATTTTTCATTCTTTTTCAACCACTCATTTTAAAAAAAAAAAACACTATTCTACCAATTTTCATTTCTTCAAAATGGGGGCCAAACTGGGGCAAAGCTTCGCATTGGGAGTTTGCTCAACTCATTCCCTAGTCTCCCGCATCGTACCATGCTTTCTTTTTCGCAAAGAGCATCCTCAACCAGCCAAACCAACTCCTTATCAAGCATACTTTGATGTTATGAAAGTTGTGTGACTTTGTAAGAATGGCTAAGGATCCATTCTCTTTCCAAGCGCGATTGCTATAATATAAGCCTCCTTAACCACTTTAAGATAGGTTGAAGTTAAGAAAAATAATGCCCTCGAGGCATAGCCCAGTGGTGCAAAGGATAGGAGTGAAGTTATCTCACACCTTGTTGGCAGCCGTAGTGTGAAGATTTGATTTCTGAGATATAGAATTGGACTCCTAGTAAGCGCAGTGTACATGCAGCTCTTATTCCCTAACCTGTTGGGATACATCCCACGATTTACCCTCTTCACAAAGCTCTAGGAGCGGGACGGTGGGATCTCTCAAGGTTGAGGTTTAACTTTTTTTTTTTTTTAAGTTTAGAAAAATAATAGTTTATTCCTCAGTAGCTCATAGCTCATATGAATCGGGTAACTTTTGGTATGTGTCTAGTCGGGCGGAGGCTGTTAGGTCACCTAATTTTAGTTATGGACCCAACAAGCCAGAAGAATGTAAATATATTATCTTTTCTTTGGTCATAACATCATGGTCTATTGTGTTAACAACACCTAGTAACTTCTCTTCGTTGGAAAATTTGTAACTTTGCATTACTTTTGTTTTAAGCCAAGGCAAAAACATGTTCAAACGTATCTGGTTTCTTTCTGTATGACATTGAAATCTCTTGATAAAAAAAAAAAAAATATAATATATATAAAAAATAATAGTTTATTCCTCAGTAGCTCATAGCTCATATGAATCGGGTAACTTTTGGTATATTTAGTTGGGCGGAGGCTGTTAGGTCACCTAATTTTAGTTATGGACCCAACAAGCCAGAAGAATGTATATATATTCTCAAAGATCAATTAGGTGGGTTTCCCTGCAACATGCTCTCTTTAAAAATCATTAGATTAGCGGGCCTTTCTCCACCAGCTGTCTGAAATTGAACGTTCGAAGCTCATAGCTTTTCCCACTGAAGAATCCATTCAATAAAAACGCGTAGACCGACATCGAAGGAAGCCATTGAACATATTTTTCACTGTCATGCCATCAGAAAGATACAAAAACTTTGAGAATTTACATGGAGAGTTACCTATCTACGTTCTGTGTTTATGTGTCTGTCTTGTTTTTCCATAGGCTACGAATTATTGATTACGTTGATGTCGTGCATGTGGGTAGGATGCCTTTGATGGCTTCACATTACAGAAATTTGGTGAGAAGATACAGAACGCCTTTATATGATCATATACCTGCTCATTTACACACCTACGCAAATTTATACATGCATATAGTCTCTGTTTTTTTCATAGTTTTCTTGAATGGGTTTTATTGAGGATAATAAAAGAATGATATAGGGGATTGGATGCCTTTGATTGCTGCATGTCTTGGGCAGACCTAAAATAAATTGAGTGAAATGGCATGTCTATTTTTGTGGGGGCTGTGGATCAGTAGTAATGTTTTCATTTCAAGATTAATCAATAGTTCCATCTATAACATTGCTTGCACATGTTGCCAGGGAGCATTAACTGCGTCCTCCATGACTCTTTAGATGACATCACTGTGGAATTGAATATTTCCCATCCATATATGGGACAATTGAGAAAGATTTTGCCATACTTAATTACAAAGTTAAAAACTGAACGCTGTTCAATCCTTTTGACCTCAAGTTTTGCTGCCATAACTTGCAATTCCTTGCACTTATCACCGATGCTTTTCAGTTTCTGTTGGAATAGTTACATTCTATTCTTTTTATGCTCTATTAACAGAAGTTCTTTCTTGTTCCTTAGCTTCATATAGCTCGATGCTATGCCTACTGGGTCATTGGCATCTGAGAATTGGATATGCACTCAACCAGAAGGTGAACTTTTTAACTACTTAGATTCGAAGCGTGTTACTGGATATTTGAGGAAAGTGTAAGATTACTGGATGTTGCTGCTATACCCTTCAGTATTTTCTTCCCATTGTGTTTGTTGACTGATTTGTCACTCTTTTACAGTTTTACTGATTTACAAATTGCCCCTTTTTCTGTCTATGATCCCATTTGAGTGATTTTCGAGTACTGCTGGATTTTGTTATTCCTTTGGTTAGAGGGTTATGAGTTGGGATTTGCTGTTCCTAATTGACTATTTCACCCCAAAATTTTTACACCTTGATTCGGCACATCCGTTGTTGTTAGGTTAGGAAGGAGGTGTCAAAAATTTTAACAGTGAGTCAGTCAAACTGGGACAGCAGATTTCAATTCAGGAGGGTAGTTGGGGTCATTTTACTGTTTCACAACTAAATTTTTGACACCTCGATTTGGCACATCAGCTGTTGTTAGGTTAGGATGGAGAGATCTGCTTAGTGTACAGATATCAACTCAGGAGGGTTAGTTGGGGTCCTTGTGTGCATTGTATTGTGTCTCTATCTTCATGCTTGCTTTTACATGCAAAGGTTTCAAAATGAATGCAAAAGTACCAATGTAAACAAAAAGCAATTGTTGAAAATACTAATCCATTCAATATGAATGTGTCAACAGAGTTTAAATTTGTTGAACCGTCTCATATAAAAACTTAATCCGCTAACATGGGACATATTTAAATTTAGTCTTCCAAAGTCCTTTCACGTGCATTCTAAATTTATATTTTCAACAAAGGTTGTGTGGCCCCGACACGTGTACAAACTTCATAAATGGATGGTAGTGACAGTCAAACGCGTGATCCTTTGGTATCATGTTTAACAATTTCAGTTGTATGAAATTTGTTCCATGGATTTTAAAACTATTCTCGTAGGTTTGTTTGCAAACCAAAACGAACTTTGAAATGTTGATAATCATCGAACACAATAACAAACACGTTAGGTTGAATGAAGAAATTGTCTTCATTTTTAAAAGGAAAAAGAAGAAATAAATTTAAATTTGATAAATTGTGTTTTCTGATTTAAAAGGTATTTTGTTTTCTTTCTTGTACCTTTTCATGGGACATTTACATTCCACCATGATGTTATTTTAAAGTGACAACTTTTATCAAAGTGACGACTTTTGATTGAATGGTCACATTTAAAAGTTATATATATATATATATATATATATATATATTGAAAATTCAATTTACGTATCAGAAAGTTAAATTCATTGGTTCCTTTATAACGATAATGTTAAGTCCTTTGTAGTGAATTCTTTTCTATGTTGGGAGATAATTGATCGAGAATTTTTCACAATGGAGGGATAAAATTGTCTTTTGGCAAGATTGTGAATTTGATTGCACGAAGAGTATAATTTATGACATTTTACAGTGCACGAAGGACGAAAACAAAAAAAAAAGAAAAGAAAAGAAAAATCGATAAAAAGAGAGATTGCTCTTGTGGATGGCACTCCCCCCCCCCCCGCCCCCACAACC